GTACTCAAAAGTGAACAAAAATTTTACTTTAAAACGTAAAATGTACTAAAAATATACTAAAACTACTAAAAATGTATATGACATTGTGAAATTACATACATTTTTATTCACTAAAGGACATGATTATTTCTGATCTTATAACCTTTATAGAAATCACTAAGTCATAAATATGAAAGGAAGCAGAATTTAGTTTTGTCTTCTAACTTGAGTAAAATAGCTTATGTCTATATTTCTATTGTCTCATATATATGGCGAGGCTACTTGATGCTATTTAAGATTTAAGAGGTATGAGGCAAACAAGGACAAGGAAGTCACTCTCCCAGAACTTGTAAGCTATAATTTATGCTGATAATAAGTCACTGCAGTTTATCAATTCTGATTTTATTCATTGGAAAGAGACTAAACCAGAAGTTTCACATCTCAGTGGTTAACTAGTAACAATGTATTGCTAGAAACAAAATTATGGGAAGTTTGAACCTAGGACAACTTTTCAGCATTTTCATTTATATACAACAGCTCCACTAACAAAGACCTGTCACCATTTTGTTTCAATTTGGATTCTCCTCATAAAATGTACTTTTGTCTTCATTAAAATTGAGGTACTGAGCAGACCTGTTTGGTCTAGTTTCAGTTCTTAGATATGATGGGTTAAATTGCAAAAAAAAAAGAAAACTTAATTCTTAAATTTAAACACAACATTGTAACTAACTCAGATGTATTTGTTTTAGCAGTAGTTTGTTTTATAACTCATTGTTATAGAGACTTATACCTAAAAAGGAAAGAGAATGTGTAGCAACTTGTACTGAGTGAACAGTTTGTTGACTCAACCAGTTTGGTTAACTCTGTTTTTTCTCCCTTTCCATTGTAGCTAGTCGCCTGGGGTTGTATTCCAAAACTTCCCAGTCAGTCTCAGGAGAAGAGATAGACGCGATGGATGTCCAGCAGCTTTCGCAGATAGTTCCAAAGGTAGGCTGAGACCAGAGCCTTCCCAGTGCAGTCAGGTCTCTCTCTGAACGTGAGCCTTCCTACTGTCCGAATGAATCTGAGAGAATAGCTGGGGCAACCAAGCAGCTTGTTTTAAGTCTTGAAATGCAGTAGTCTTGCCGTTGACATCAGTCCTATCATTGAGCGAGTGTTTGATGGGATCATTGTATCAGTGCAGATTCATTAACTTCAACAAGAACAAGTTTTCTCCAAGGAAGGTCTTATGACAATTCACAGTGCTTGTGTTGTATTTACAAAGCCCAGAGTGAAGAGAGACCCTGTGCTGAATGGGTTCCTTCCTCTGGGGGTACCCTGCCCACTTACCAGCTTAATGACATTTGTATTGTTTCCAGATTTTGGCAGTTATGGATAAAGTTAGTGCAAACATTTGGGTACAGGTTTTATGCATAAAAATAAATGTTTGGGCCCTCCCTGGTGGCGCAACGGATTGGCGCTGTGCTACTAAGCCAAGCCAAGCCCTTATTACTTCAGTGGGAGTTCGAGCCCCACCCCAGAGGTGATCCACATGGTGCAGCAGACCTCTCCTGTTTTGCCTGCTGCTTCTGTTCTGCTCCCCGTTCTGTCTCTGGTGAATCCTGTCACCACCGCTGGTCTGTACCCCATTTCTGTATGCATGCACAAATACAATCTTTAAAAAGAATAAATTTTCATTTCTCTTGGTTAAATATAAGAAACCGCTGGGTCATATGGTTAATGTATGTTTTAGCTTTGTAACAAACCACGGCAGTTGTTTTATGAAGTATCTTTACCATTTTACATTCCCACCGGCAGTGTCTGAAAGTTCCACCCACTCCCCATTTGCACCAGCACCATAAAGTTGTCATCTCCCCCCCACCCTATAGTCTCATAGGTATAGAGTGGTTTTATTGAGGCTTTAATTTGTATTTCCTTTACAAATAATAGGGCTAAGTGTGTATTTATATGCTTATCTGTCACCCACATATTGTTAGTGAGCTGTCTGCCCTGGCTATTTTTTTAAAGCTTATATTCTTGAATTTTTGAGACTCTGTATGTTAGAGTTAATAAGTTCTTATCAGTTATTTTTGAAATATTTTTGACAACTCTAGCTTCTCTATTTTCTTTAAATTATTTTTCAAATAACATGAGTTTTAAATCCTGATGAAGTCCACTTCCTCATTTTTCTCTTTCCATGTAACTTGTCTTAGATATCTAACTACTCTTTGCCTAATCAAAGATCACTATGATTTCTTGCCTGTTTTCTTCTACAAGTCTTACAAGTTTAAGCTTTCTACCTAAAATTTTTTATCACTTTAACATTAAAGTCTGTGATCTCTTTTTGAATTTTTGTGTATGTTGTGAAAAATGGACTAAGATTCATTATTTTACATTGGATGTTCAAGCACTGTTTGTTGAAAGGACTCCTTTTTTCATTGAAATGCCTTTTTACGTTTGGTAGCATGATTTTCTGATAAGTTATTTATAGGGAGAAAAGGCATCTCCTAGCTTATAAAACAGCTACTTCTTTAGAGTCACATTCTTGTTGTGGTATGAATTCAGTCTTGGGGGTACTGTGGGGGCGTAACCGAGCTGGAAGGGCTCTGTCAGAGGCGGGCAGCATTCTTGCCTCCACGTTGTTGTCTGTCTTGTCTTTGTGATGTTGTTTTCTCTCCTTTATCCTGAGTGCTCTAAATTGGGGTCATCAGTGTTGTTTCCTCAGCATCTAGGAGCAGTGTGTGTGTGTGTGTGTGTGTGTGTGTTTTGTTTTAGATTGAGAGGAGAAGGTGTTTTCATATCTGCAAGTTACCCTATGCACCTGTCCTGCCGAGAGTTCCTTCCTGACATTGTTTCTGAAGGAAGAACTTCCCCATTATGTTCTCTGGGGGGCATTGGGGCAGAGGATATATACTAAATATATGTGAAGTCTGTAGTTAATTAAACATTTTCCCATTAGACTTCTGTTCCCATTCCAGAGATGTGAGTAACTAGTGAAACTGACAGATTTAGCATTTCATTTTACTTGCTTTCTTCATCTTATTCTCTGGATTGCTGATAAAAATGCTAATAAAGTCTTAAAAAAAACTACATAAACATAGAGAAGAATAAAACAAATTACAGATTACATCATTAGTTTGCACAAATTACACCATTGGTCTTTTTCAAATAAGAGTTTTTGTGTATTTATTATGGCAGATACTGTGATGCTATTACACATGATTAAACCATGTAAATATCAGTCTTGTGAGGAAACTCCCTGAATTGCTTAAAGTCCTCCATCTCTAGGAGGAACTTTTTAAATACCAAGGTTTCTGCCCTGGTATTTCATGTCTATGAATACCTAAGTCTTTTAAGTCTCTTTTTTTTTTAAGATTTCTTTATTTATTAACATAGACCTGGAGTACAGGTCAGAGGTGCAGGTGCGGTGAGAGGATTCACCAGAGACAGAGTGGGGAGCAGAGCAGGCAGACTGACAAAGTACACTGCTGAGAGGAGCAGCGGGCATTGCAGGAGAGGTCTCCTGCGCCATATGGGTCACCTCCAAGGCAGGGATCAAACTCATGCTGAAGTGGCTTTAGCTTCTTAGTGCTGTGTTTTAACCCACTGAGCCACCACAGAGGGCCCCTGAGTAAGCTTTTCTTAATAGCAGAACAAAACTTTTCTTCTAAATTGCTTGCCTACAGAGGTTTTCCCACATGTACTAAAATAATATAAATTTTCTCTCATTGAAATGTAACTCAAATCTCTTAACATTGCTCTGTCCTTTAGACGTAGAGTATTAGGTCAAAACTACAGAATACTATAGAAACTGATTTTGCACAATTATTTATCGCATACATTTAGGAGTTCTTAGTACTTTCTGTTTATGATTTCTCCTTGTGTATTTTGTATTTCCTGTTGATAAGGAGGGCATCTTCTTTCATTCTTCATTTTTATAGCAGCATACCTATATATATTCCTACCAAATGCCAAAGGTATTATCACAGTCTGTGTGCTGTTTAATTTTTGATAGGTTATCAATACTACACCTATTTTTGTCTTAAATATATCAGTTATCTCTATCTGTCTGGAAGATTTGGAGAACTTTGGCTGCTTATTTGAATGCCAAAAGTCGTTTTACTTATTAATCCCCTTTGATAGTTTCCTGCTTTGTTCCTTATGACTGCTTTGTCTGGTGATGTTACTCAAAATAGCCGTGATTGCTGAACACAAACGTGATGCTGCAAAGAAGCGTGCACCCGAGGAGTGGAAGTTCTTATGCAGGTCCTGCCTTCCTCCCTCTTCTCGTGGTCACCATTCCCTCCATTGTACCCCAAACTTCCTCACTGCCCTCCCTAAGTTCTCCTCCTGACTTCTCCCTTTTTACTCTTAAGGGGCAGTGAGGTGATTGTATTGTGTGCTAGTTTCAAATTATCAAATTACGCCCTTTTCCTGGGTAGAAAAACAGGCATGAAGATCAGAAGATTATTAACAAAGTAAAAATGCAATTTTAGAATAGAACTTTAATCCCAACTGTAGTATAGTCATACAGTTGTAATTTTTTAGGTCTTTTATATCTCATTTCTTCACACTTTTTCAGCCACTAAATTTTAACATTTTTCCTCAACTGGAAAGATTGACCTGCTCATGCTGGTGCATGCAAACCATATTTTCTTTGGCACTATTAATGTACTGTGTGCATGACACCATGGGTGTCACCTCTGCAGTGAGATCTGCTTAGGCTCAGAGTGGTGGCTCTTATTTTTGAATTTCCATTGAAAGCTTTGAAATGCTAGACTCTTCCATCAAGTAATAGGTGCACTGGATGTGTGTCAAGTAACGTGTTACTGTACAAAAGAATTATGCCTCTAGCCAAGAGTTTCATCCTCACTGTTGTGGTCAGTGACAACCCACAGTGACTACAATGGAGCAACTTGCAGTGGTTCAAGAATTAAGTGGAACAAAAGCAAAATTCTACTTTGTGCAACCTGAGTATTTGTAATTAGCCTTTTATTTTTAAGTATTCTGTAAATCTGCAACCTTTGCTAAGTACTTGTACGTTGGTGCTGTGCTCTACATGATTAATTTCTGCAGTGAAGCTGGATTTTCATTTAAAAGTGATCAGTATGCTTTAAATACAAATGTCACTTAGTCCTTTTAAAAGGATCTCCAAATGGACTTTTAACTTTCGTAAAAGGGAGAGTATTTTATGAATATGAATATGATTCATCATATCTGGGTGATTGAATAGTAGTCAGTAATGTGATGTTACAGTTAGACTGAATCTTTTGCTAGGAAAAGAATCCTCTTTTGTTTGATTTTTAATTATAATTTGGAGAGGATACCTGGGACAAGCTTTAGAGTCATTCGCTCTGTTTACATTCATTTTATATGTACTTATAGGACATTAGAGATACAAGGCAAAAACTTTTCTTTGTGGAGCTTACAGTCTGAGATAAATGTGTGTACACATATGTATACCTAGATATGTATATACACACATATCTATAAATAAAATGCTGCTAAGTGTTAACACTGAAAGGAGGAGGGAGAGAGATAAGGAAGTTTGAAGACCTCATTGAGCAGGTGCTGTCTGACAGGAGGCAGCAGCCGTGTAACACCTATGGAAACATTGCCCACAATGTGAAGGGGGATGTAGTCATGGAGGGCTTTTGAGCAGAGGACAGAGCAAACCATTTGTAGGTTGATCTAACCACAGTGTTGAGATTAGGCTGCCGAGGGCAAGGGCAGAAAAGAACGTGAGTTTAGCCCAGCTGTAGCCTTTTAGCACTGGCATTTAGAGTGGGGCGGTTGAAATATGGATATATTTGAGAATGGACCCAACAGAATTTGCTGGCAAACTACTGTGACACATGAAAGAAAAGGATGGCTCTTAAAATTTAGAGGCTGAGCAACTGCCAGGATATACCTGCCTTAGAATAAGAACGAGCCAGTTTTTTGGGAAATAATAGAGGTGCCTGGGATATGTTAAGTCTCAGCGCTCTGCCATGGTCAGAGTTTGATCCCTGGGAGGGAGCTGACCCATATGGCACAGCAGACCTCTCCTGTCTCCCTACTGCTCCCCTCAGCAGTGTATTTCAGTACATCGGCCTCTGTCTCTGGTGAATCCTCTTATGCCCCCTACCTCTGGCCTACACCTCGGTTCTATGCAAATAAATAAATAAATCTTTAAAAAAAATAAAAACAACAGGACAGGTAGAGCAGGTGGGTAGATTAGTTTCATCAATCGGGATTTCATTGGGAATGTCTAGGCTAGAGAGAAAAGTGTATATAAATAAAATCTATAAGACAGTAGGCGATCACCTCAGAAGAGGTAACTGATTCTTAGGCCTCTTATGGAGAAAAGCCTAAAAACTGAAAAATTCAATCTAGAGGTAGGTCCTGAGGAACCTGCTTATTAGAACAACCAAAAAGGTAGGAAGAAGATCAGGAGCATGGAGGCTGGTCATGGCCGCCAAGAGGAAGTGTGGGGGTGGGAGTGACACTGTATTAGGGCGCTGCTGAGAACTGAGTAAGTCAGACAAGAGATGGGCATTGGCGTTAGCAACATGGGAGGTCTCTGTACCCTCATGGATTTTGGTGTACTGATGGGAGAAAATCTGATTGGGTTCCATGAGGAGACTGATGCACGAGTCTTGGCTTGTTCTGTTCTGTCTCTGAAATGTTTTATGAATAAAGCGGTGTTCAGAATTTAAACATAATAGGACAGATTGAATAACTTGTTTAGATTGTGTGTTTTTGTGGTACCTTTGGTAAAGTTTGAAATACCATGTCAAAGAATGTGTTAAATTTATGACATAGAGTATACACGTGATCTGTGTTTCACAGTTTAAATTGATGACTTAAAAAAATTGTTCTTAGTTGTAAATGTGTGGGTCACTATAACTTTCTTTACAGTGAAGATTTTGAGTGTATCCTGTATTTCAACAGGTTGCAGTATTTTACAGAGCTAGTCCAAGGCACAAGATGAAAATTATTAAGGTGAGTCTCTAAGAGTCAAGCTAGTTCTATCTCATTATGTAAACAACTACACAACTGTTAGCCTTTCCTGATAGTTGTGGGACTAGAAGCATGAAAATTGAAGGAGTTGTGAAGCAAAGCAAGTGGTATATTTTTGAGAGCTTGCAGTGGGAGAATTTAATTAGCATAGGAAGAATGTAAAAGAAAAAATTCATCACACTACTTGCACCCTCCTTTAAATAATTAAACAATGTAGAAGTAGGCTCTGAGGAAGTCAGTAATGCATCCCAGTATGAACCCCAGTGTGTAATCGCTTAGAAACTGAATAAATGCAGTCCCCCCTCCCAATAATATTTTAAGAATGTAAACAGTATTTAAAAGCTTATGGCTGCTTTTATTATCAGTCAGAAGTATATAAGGTAGCTGACATGGTATCCATTAGTTAATGGACTTAAGTCGTCTGTCATCTTAAGCCTGCCATTTTATTAGTTACGATTATTCCAGCCTCAGCACGGTTGGCATGGGGCTGGGTAATTCTTCAGTGTGAGAGCTGCGTGTGAGGGGTGGTGTGTGCAGTGGCGGTTGTGGCATTTGTTCTCTTGCCCTCCACATGCCAGGAGCATTCAAGTCGTGACAGTAAACTGGATCTCTAGTATCACCCCCAGATAACCTCTTAGAGACACAGTTTCCCCTGAGAACCACCGGATAGTTAACTGACCACAGATCAGACTTTATGTATACAGTTCTCACACATGGAAATAGCAGTAGCATCTCTTTCTAAGTTTTATCTTAAGCCTCGCATATATTGAATTGAAACTTGTAAATTGGTGGTCTTTATAATTTTCACTTTAAGCTTTGTGTTAAAAAAGTAGATAATCATTTTATCTGTGTGGAAGCAACATTTTTATCAGAATTTCTTCCTCCTGGATGCTAGTCTCTGCAGAAGACTGGATCAGTTGTAGCCATGACGGGAGATGGAGTAAATGATGCGGTTGCTCTGAAGGCGGCTGACATTGGTGTTGCCATGGGCCAGACTGGCACAGATGTTTGCAAAGAGGCAGCAGACATGATCCTGGTAGATGATGATTTCCAGACCATAATGTAAGTTTTGTTTCAGTGAATGTGCATCTTAGGTTTTACCTTTTCCATGCTCTACCCAGATAATCAGCTGGCAAAGAATTGGTAATTTTTAAACATTGGGTAAACTGAAATTAACTCTTTTACTAGGGTAATTTTATGCCTTAGTGTGTGGAGAAGTTAATTTATATGGAATGCAAAAGTTATAGTAAATATAGGGCCATTGGCTTATAAAACTAGCCAAATGTCACAATTTCTGGCCACGGGTGTGGTAGTATTACAGTGAACCTCATGGAGCTTTTATTCTAGTTAAATCCAGCCTGCATGAAGTAGGCATGCATCTGGTATCTTTAAGAAAAATCAGCTTGGAGAAGTTAAGATTATTTCAGTATCATAATGTGTAGTATGTACTATTACTTGTTTTGAAGACATTATGTAATTTTAATGTTGAAATATCTTTTTAAGATAAGAATTTTAATATAGTGCACAACAAAATTAGGTAAAGCTAAAGCAGTTTTAGCTTTCATTCCTTGCTAGACTTTTTCTAATATTGATTGTGGGAAGACAATAAGATTATTTTAATGATTTATGTGTTTTATCAGTTAGAAAGTTGTTTTCAGAGTTAGCACAACAATTTTTAAGTATACATGTATCTTTTAATTTTGTGTGCAGTTTTCTCAATTTTCTTTTTTAAATTTCAGGTCTGCAATTGAAGAGGGTAAAGGCATTTATAATAACATTAAAAATTTTGTCAGATTCCAGCTAAGCACGTAAGTTTCTAAGAAGTTTGTCATTATGGGTCTTACAGATAAATGAACAGTAGAATTTAAGCAGAAGGCTAGAAGTTTCTGAGTTCTTGTTTCTGAGGTTTGTGCATATATAAGTATTCCAAAATGAAAATACATTGTAGTCTGAAATTTAAAATGGCATGATAGTTTCTAAATCTGTCAGGTAACTGTATCATCCATATATATAAACCCTTGTAGATTAATTAGTAGCTTCTCAAATTACTGAAAGGGGATGTGAAATCTTAGTGTTTACTTTTAGTATCTTTTTACAAACAGAAAACAGACCAAAAGTAGTTAACAAGCTCATTGAAATGGTTAACTACTGTGTAACAATAGCTACTCCAGCGTCAGGTTTTGAATCTCTATCTACTGTTGTTCAAATACTGTTTAAGTATTATAGATTGTAAGGGTTAACACAGCTTAAAATGTTCACATGAATAAAACATACTTAAAACATGGCCTTTAAAAACATAGTAGTAAATTGAATTTTTATATGTTAAAAAATATAAAATTAATAAGAATTTACTATGTGACGGATTTCTTTTTTAATGACTTTTTTTTTCAACAGGAGTATAGCAGCATTAACTCTAATCTCACTGGCTACATTAATGAACTTTCCTAATCCTCTCAATGCCATGCAGATTTTGTGGATCAATATTATTATGGATGGACCTCCAGCCCAAAGGTAAGCCTTTTTTCATGTATAAACTCAAAACGAGGAGGAAGGATAGTGTAATAATTCACTTGTAAGATTTCCTTCATGGAACACATGGGGTATCTTTGCAGCAGCATATCTGTTATGGATTGTCTGATATGTGCATATCACCTGTTCTCTGGGGGTGCTCATTCATACATTATGGACGTGAGCCTTTACACTGGGTTAAATGTCCAGCCTTGAATTGAGAACAGATCTGGGAACTCTAGTACAAGGTTCTGACCTCAGGAAGTGAGCTCTTTGTTTCTAAGAATGGGATGTAATGACATAGCACTGAGTTTAATGTGCAATTACCAGGCGGTTTTTTTCAATTTTAGAGATTCTGGGAAAGTATCGAAGGACCTAGTAAAAATGTTTTTTTTTTTTTTTTTTAAATAAGAGAGTCATACGTGAGGCTTCCAACACAGAGTAAGTGATACATGTCAGCAAATCAGTTCATTTGAAACTTCCATGTGTGGAAGATAATTCAGAGTTCAGCTGATACTCCTTTTTTTTTTTTTTTTTTAAAGATTTATTTATTTGTTCATACAGAACTGGGGTACAGGCCAGAGGCTCAGGGGCAGCGAGAGGCTTCACCAGAGACAGAGTGGGGAGCAGAACAGGCAGATCAACGAAGAACATTGCTGAGGGGAGCAGCGAGCGGGTCAGGAGAGGTCTGCTGCACCATGTGGTCACCTCCATGTGGTCACCTCCGGGGAGGCGGGAATCCAACTCATGCGGAAGTGGCTTTAGCTTCTCAGTGCTGTGTTTTAACCCGCTGCGCCACCAGGGAGGGCCCTCAGCTGATACTTTTACTTCATGTTTAAAATAAGTAACTGTAAATAAAATTGGATTGTTTCTTCTTTTTAAATTTGACTGTCAGCCCACTATGAAACTATGAATAAATACAATAGGAGAGCAAGCTAAATTCGGTAGTTATTTCCTAGTAGTCATAGCAGAACTTTTCCTTGTGCTTCAACATCTTGTTTCCTTGAGAAAAGCATATAGTTTTCTGAATAATCGAGTAACAAATCCAAATCTCAAATTTAAAGTAATTCACTCTTTTCTTTTTGTTTTTAAGCCTTGGAGTAGAACCAGTGGATAAAGATGTCATTCGTAAACCTCCACGCAACTGGAAGGACAGCATTTTAACCAAAAACCTGATTCTTAAAATACTCGTTTCATCAATAATCATTGTTTGTGGGACTTTGTTTGTCTTCTGGCGGGAGGTATATTCACTGGATTGCTTTATTTATGTGGCTTTGTATGATGGGCTCTTGGTTATTTTGATGTGTTACATGCAAGAGGAAAAGTTAGGAGATCTCTTTGAAAAATATAATAAGTATTTAAAATAGTTTTATTTCAACATGTAAGTGTTAATAAAACTGTTCATTGGAATAAATCTGCAGAGAAGAATCAGATAAAATGAACAAATTTGGGTAAAAGTTAGAAAATCTGTGTTTAATAATACAGGCTCTTTATTGTCAAAAAAGACTTTTAATATACAGTCTTATGTTTTGTCACTGAAAAGTCATTCTGTTTGTTTCTTTTGACAGCTACGAGACAATGTGATAACACCTCGAGATACCACAATGACCTTCACATGCTTTGTGTTTTTCGACATGTTCAATGCACTAAGTTCCAGATCCCAGGTATGGTTTGGTGGTATTAGCTGATTTGATTCAGTTGGGTAAGCGTATTCTTTAATGGTAGGCAAGGATTATGAATTTTTAGTATGGCTTGCTTTCGTACCATAGATTACTGCTCTTGATAAAGCCTTCCTACAAATTTGTGCCGACAGGCATCTCATCATAGAGATGGGGCTGTTGGAGAGATGAGCCTTTGACCAGAAGATCAAAGTTGATCACAGGTGTCATCACCTGATCTTTCTTCCCATTCTCTTAGTATCTGTAGCTCTGCGATAGGCTCAGGTTAACATTATTCGAGCATAAGACCCACCTGCGGATTCTCATACAGTGATATTAGTCTCACTCTAGTAAAAGAAACACATAGTTATAAGCATGACTTGGTGCATGTGAATTTTTCCCATTATTTTCATCATTGTGTCAAAGCTTATGACACTTAAAATTTGCTTTTCTTCTCCTGTTGTATCTTCAGATGTGACTGCTTTTCTTGATCAGATCACTTTGTTAGAAAATAGTGAAGTATCACCTAGTACTGCATTCCCAGAGCATATGCTTAAGAGGTACTTTCCTGTGAGACCTGGCTGTTTATTTCAGTTTTACAGCACCTTAGCTGTATTACTGTTTACCATGCTATAATTCTCCAAGTGCAGTAAATTGAGAAGTTTAGACTAATTTTTAAAGAAACAGTAGCATTTGATTTTAAAGTCACTTTTACTTTTTCAGTATATACTCATAATCAGGTTTATTATTCAAGAAAGGTTATCTATCTGAAAGGGCAGGAACGATTCAAGAGCTAATTATATATACAGATAAAAGTTTTTTAGTGCTTTGAAATGCTAAGGTACATTTCTTTTTCTTTATTATTTTATAAATACATTTTTTTTTTACATTAGTCTTCATTCTGTACATTTTTCCATCTCAGTAAGGTAGGTACATTTTTTTCTGTGTCTTTTTTGTTTTGTTTTTTAATAGAGTACGTCCTTTTGAGTAAGCCCTTTCTTGATAAAGAGAAGCTGCTTTAAAATTTGTCCTGTTACATTTGAGTTATTCTAGAATTGTAACTAAACTTAAGAGATTTCATAGTATTGCCACTGTAGAATTTCATAGTTTATTGAAAATTGAAGGTGAGTGTATTAATAGTAAAGTTGTTTCATTGACCAAGGAGTAATAATTGAACTCTGCTTTGCCAACAGACCAAATCTGTGTTTGAGATTGGACTCTGCAGTAATAAAATGTTTTGCTACGCAGTTCTTGGATCCATCATGGGACAGTTATTAGTTATTTACTTTCCTCCACTTCAGAAAGTTTTTCAGACGGAGAGCCTAAGTATACTGGGTAAAGAAAATGTTATTTTTATAACACATTTTAGATTAATTGTTGCAAGTATTTACATTTTTTTTCTAATAAAGGTTTTCTTTAAAAAAATGAAATGTGAAGAGGCTGGCCTGGTTTGGCAGTTATTTGGACAAGTTTAGGGAAGTCCCTTTCCTTATTCTAGATTTTTTTCCTTGTAAATATTTCATAGATTATTGTCAGAATCCTATTTGGTGACTCTGAAGTATAGGTAATCAACCTTGTACAGTACTTGTAGTTCATAACTTAATAACTTGTAGTTTACTCTTGTATGAAGAGAAAATTAGATTTAAGCTCATTAAAATCCAAACTTTTCTTTAAAACTACAATTTTGATAAACTAATATTTCAAATTCTTACTTGCTAATCAGCTCATTCTAATGATTTAACAATTTAATGCAATAACAATCTGACCCTAAGAATAGAAGACTCTATTAAGATCATGTAGAAGAGAAATTTTATTCTTTCATATACTATGTGCGTAGCTAATGTATTCTTATATAGTACATTTAAAAATTAACCTCCCTGTGTAAGTGTGAGGAATGATGCATTTTTATGCTAATGCTATCATTAATTCTTGGGTTTTTAATTTAATTTCGATAGTTATAAATTGAGTTCTATAACTTCACTCAGATTTTAAACTTTAATTTAAAGTTTAATTCCTGACTCTTTAAAAATAAAATGGAGTTTTAAGGTCACAGCTGTAATTTCTCAGGAAGTAAATATGAATGGGGTTGTGTGGATGCTGTTGCAAAGATGGAAAAGATGGCGTTGGCGTTCTAGGCTTGTGAACGGACTGAATACAGATTTCCTGTAGTAAAATGTTAGAAAGATGTTAGTCATTAAACTTTGCAACTCTAAGTTTCAAAGGATTGTAAAACGAACTTCTTTTCTCTTGCAGATCTGCTGTTTCTTTTGGGTCTCACTTCATCAGTGTGCGTGGTATCAGAGATTATAAAGAAGGTTGAAAGGAGTAGGGAAAAGATTCAGAAGCATGTTAGTTCGACATCGTCGTCTTTTCTTGAAGTATGATGCATATTGCATTCTTTTATTTGCAAACTAGGAATTGCAGTCTGAGGATCATTTAGAAGGGCAAATTCAAAAGGATAATGAAGATTTGAGAACTTTTAAGCTTTTCATTGACTAAAAATGAGTGTTAATGTTAAAGACTTGATTTGAGACTTTAACTTGCTGGCAGTCCCAAATGAAATTATGCAACTTTGATAACATATTCCTTGATTTAAGTTGGCTTTTGCAATGGAGTGGAACTTTTTAAAGTTATAGGGTCAGTTATTTAATTACAAAAAAGGCAAAACCTGAACCACCTTCTGCACTTAAAGAGGTCTAACAGTACAAATATACTATCTTCTTAGATATAAATATTTTTTTTTAATTTTTAAATATTGTACTATTTATGGTGGTGGGGCTTTCTTACAGATACACAAATAAATCCAGTCCTTACAAAGGCATTCTATTATTTGGTTTAGAAGTTGATTCCCAGGAGTGCTATATTTCAGCTACTGTATTTCCTTTTCCTACAGTGTAAGCAGCTCAGATAACTCTGTGTTACCATTTTTGTGTCTCAAGGTATTTTTTGCACAGGATGTGACCACTGTCAGATCACTGTTCTTTTCTTTCTTTTTGTGATTGAAAAGGCCTCTACTGCAATTTGAAGTAAATGTTTGCTTTTCTTAGTAAGTATAAATGGTTGCCTTCCCCCGCCACGCCCCCCTTTTAAGGTATGAGTCTTGGTCTAGCAGAATTAATACAGGATTGTCAAGTGGCATTCTAGTTAGGATAGCAGTGTCTGTAATTAATGCAGCCATAGAGAGAAAAGTATTTAAGAATGATTGCACTGAAATTTATAACACTGTTTTAACATGTGTTACCATCCCTTTTTTGAGTTAAATATAAATGCGTATGTTGTCAAACAGTGTCATATCCTAAATACAAATCCAAGTACATCACCTGAATAACTGAAATTTATTACTTTGAATGTCTCTTTTCTAATGTGTTTCTAAATATCATTTTTAGAGTAATCTACGCAAAGAATAAAACTCCCAGCCCAAGCAGGGGGAGCAGGTGCATGTGAGGTTCTGTGCTGGCCTTGTGTGCTCTGGGTGGCGGCGCAGCCCAGGCGCCCGCTGCCGCCTGCCCCACACGGTCTCTGCTTCGGGCTGCTCTGTGCGAGAGAAATAAGCGGACTTGTTCTGTGTGGTGCATCACTTTTATAGTGGCACGAGGAGGAGTAGGTCAGCTTTTCCGAATATATGACAGATAGGGACTAGATCTCTATCCAAACTAGATTCAAAGTTAGAAATCCATTTTCCTGTTGAATATTTCTCTCTGAAATAGGAACAGGCCGCACTTTTTTTTAAACAGCATTAAATCTTCTTGAAATGAATGGGGAGTTTGTATTTTATGATTTGCCATTAAAAAAAAAACTTTCAGGATAAACAACCTCCAGTTTTTATTGATATTAAACTATGGTACATAGACTAAGTGCTGTTACTTATGACAAGGAAAATACCTATTTGTTGAGTCCTTGTTACTGAAACAGTCAAGTCTGAGGAGCTGAGATGTCTGTAGTGTATGCAGTTTGACTTTGTGAGGCTGCCTGGTCACATGGACTTTGTTCCTTGCTATCAAATGGAACATGACGCAAAGTCATTTTGGTGACTGTCTCATACCTAAATTTTGTCATTTTTCTTCTGTTAAAAATATTTGAAGTGCATATTAAGTGCATGTCAATCTCCTGGTTTGCCTTTTAGTTTCAGAGTATGATTCCTGTGAAATAAATGTGCCTATTCTTTCCTTCAGTTTCTGAACCAAGAAAAAAATTCTTTTAATATGTTACTGACCATCCAGTTGGGGCTGTTAACAATAAAATTATCCATATGGATGTTGAAAATACAAAAATGAGACTGTACTCAGGATACACAGAATCTGTGGTTTAAAATAAATATAGAACAGATATACTACAACTGCATTCAGGTTATAGTTTTTCATAGCATATTAGCAAACTAGAATAACTAGAATATTTGTATCTGTCTTTCTTAGCAGATTATCCAAATTTGCATGGAAGTTAATTTAAATGTTCTACAACCAGAATTTTAAACATGCATTTCTCTTCCTAATCCTAGGGCTTGCTAGAGTCAGTTTTGTCATTTTATTTTAATTTTTCCTATTAGACTGACTCATGAAGTTATTTAGCCCAAAATAAGAAGGGGATTTCAATTCACCAGTTTGTTAGCCTAGACACTTCTCAAATGATTAAGGCTGTAGTGTTTAGTGTCTTCTCTCACACTTGTATTGGGCACTGCATGAAACAGTGGAAATGAGAAACCTTAAAAACCTCTTTACTCAAGCTGCAAGTTCCAATTAACAGCAACCTGTCATCTTCCTGCCGGTGTGAGGTGAATTTACCTACCAAGGTAAATTCAATCTGAAATCACTCTGTTTTCATCTTTTTCATACAGGGTGTAAAGAAAGGGAGTATTGACTATAGTTAAAATAGTTTCTCACTGGAACGAATCAGTGGCTCCTTAACTTTACCTTTTCTGCCTCTGTCATTTGACAGGTGATGTGCGTTTTACTTCTACATACAACTCACCCCAAAACTTAGATGGACAAATTGTCTTTCAGTAAGCTGTTATTTAGTAACTGGAGGGTGCTAGAACTAGAAAGATAATGAGATCCCTGCCTATGGGCAGGACTAGTAGGGGTATGGTCTACGCTCATTATTTTTCAAGTATGCATATATTAGAATGAGTTTAGCATACATTGTACTGGAATATTCTCTTGGCGTTGGCATTTGGAATTTTTTCAAGTACCTTTTTTAGACCATGCTGCAATTCAAATAGCTGATTTGAATCCTGAAATCCAGTATGAATAAATGTTAATCCTTACTGGTATGTGCCTAGACAGCATTATCCATATTATTAAAGCAGCCTTGAAATCAGTCAGTTACAGCCATTGAGTTTTCACTGAACAATGGTACTTTGGGTTTTGGTTAAGTTTGGGCATAAAATTCTTGGATTTTATTTTTTTAGAAAGCATGAAAAAGTTCAGTGTAAGCATTTCTTTGATAAACCTAGTTAGAAATTTTGTGTTAACTTTTCATTTAAGAAAAGTTGTTGAAGGGCACTCCCTGGTGGCGCAGCGGGTTAAAGCACAGCACTGAGAAGCTAAAGCCACTTCCGCATGAGTTCGATTCCCGCCTGCCCCGGAGTTGACCACATGGCGCGGCAGACCTCTCCTGACCCACCCACTGCTCCCCTCAGCAGTGAACTTCGTAGATCTGCCTGTTCTACTCCCCACTTTGTCTCTGGTGAAGCCTCTCACCGCCCCTGAGCCTCTGGCCTGTCCCCCAGTTCTGTATGTACAAATAAATAAAAATCTTTAAAAAAAAAAGTTGTTGAAATTTGGGGACAAAAGTGAAAAATACTTAGACTGTTAGTTTTGATTTTTATAAATTGTTTTCTATTTTTTAAAGATTTATTTATGCAATAAATAAACAAGAGCTAGGGTACAGGCCAGAGGTGCAGGAGCAGTGAGAGGATTCACCAGAGACACAGTGGGGAGCAGAACAGGCAGATCGATGAAGTACACTGCTGAGGGAAGCAGCGGGCGGGTCAGGAGAGGTCTGCTGTGCCATGTGGATTGCCTCCCTGTCTAGAATCATACTCTTGCTGCAGTGGCTGCTGAGAGCTTCATGTTGTTGCAAGTTAACACCTGTGCCACCATGTTTTCTAATCTAAATCTGCCAACTTATTGACTCTTGGCCTTTTGGTTAAGATCAAGTGCCAGTTTCCCTGTATACAGTCAAATGTAGTCTCTGCCTGTGTGTCTAGCTGCTCCTGGCAGACAGTTTCCTGAGCAGATCACTGTACACACCTGACTTTTTGCCCCAGTCAAGCCAAATTGACAAGTAAATTGGCAAAGGCTCGCATTTCTATTGGTAGCTTCAAGCTATCATTCTTTTCATATCGAAGTCAGATTTGCCCCGTCACTATAATTTCTTCGGAAAAATGGCATTGTTCTGCCTAGAACACTCTGACTAGCATCTATTTCATGAATTATGCCTGAAATTGAGGAAGTTGTATGTGAGTGGAGTTGTTTGTGGATTTCCAACTTTTGAACTCGGGCAAAATGTACTTTTTAAATAGTTTTGTTTTTTTAAACTTGCCCATTCAACTGAAAGCAGTTTCTAGTAGGCCTTACAAGTACACTGAAGCGCCTATTACTAGAGAAGTGACAATTTGGTGCCATCTGGTGGTCACAGACAGTACTGTAATGTTCTGATCATTTCCCATCAAATCTGCACCTTTAAAACACAATCAGAAAAAGCTTGGAGTAATAGGTAACAAGTCTCACCCAAAAGACAACTACAGAAACGATAGAAAATGTGTGCTTGATTGTATTCAAATTATATTTGAGCATTATTAGATCAATTTCAGGGAGAGTTAAATGAATATATTTTCAATTCCTTTCTCATATTCACTCATATGATTGCGTAATAGGATTGTATTAGGATTTATAAGTATGTGTCTGTAGGGGTCAGGTCTGGATGGCCCACGAAATAGCTACATAAGTGTATATATATATATTTAGGCCTTGGTGTTGCACCTGTACTGAACAGATGTGACTCCTTTTTCTTGTCATTTCCCCCCAAATGACACATTACAACAGCTATTGATACAATGTTAGATTTTATAAGTAAACTAGAGAGGATGGAAGATTTCATATAAGTGAAGTGGGGTATTTGTAGACTTAGGTATCCACCGCAGTTTCCTGGCAGTAATCCCCAGAGCTACTGAGGGACGACTGTACTTACGTAACTCTTCCGTGTGGACTGTTGAGTCCGTATGGGGTTTGATGTGTGATGAGCTACACACCAATTCCATCTGCTACTGGTTTGCAAAAAAAAGTTTTTTTTGGTATGCAGCATTCATTTTCAAAGTGTTTTATCACTGCTTCATCCTGGTTTTAGGTACCATAGAGTTTGTTCCAGCAAAGAAGTGAACTTTTCTCCTGGTCTTGGGAGTGACCAGCGACACTTTCTACATGTGGCTTGGGGTCCTGGTGTGCCAGCCTACCTTAAGCGCAGGGACCAGCAGCCATGGAGCTCTGGGGACCTCATTAAGGGAGATGCTGGGCTTGGGGTCCTCTGGGTTATCAGATAGGGCCAGGAGGCCCTGACAGTTGCAGGAGGAAATTTTCAGAAAGTGGTAATATCTGCTGTTCATTTTTCCTATCGTTAAATGTATTCAGGGCTCTTTTCTGTTTCTGAAAATTGGTTATTCATTTGCTCTTTCAATGTTTACTTCAGTTGGGTTTTAAAAGACTACAGAAAATTCCTTGATGACGAGATTAAAGGGCAGAGGGACACAAGGACTCACAGGATAGTTCTGGTCTTTCTCACTTTCTCTGGGGTGAGCTTGGCTGCCTGCTCACATCCTTCCTGCACTGCTCTTTCAGTGTGCTAACCAGCACCTCTGCTGAGCTTTCTTCTCCCAATCTGACCCTGCTTCCTGTCTTCACCATGTATGTGTTGACACCCTTTGCTTCTGCAGAATTCTGCTGTGAGCCTAGGCACCCACCGGCACTGGCCTCAGGGAGCCCATCTTCCCAGATCTCACTTTTGCCCTTGGTTTTCACCTGTGAATGTAGTGAGGGCTCTCATCTATGCATCTGTCTTGCATGTTAATGTTGGGCACTATGCTAAATAGCATAAAAATACATTATTTTATCTTTATTCAGTTATTTGGAGACTTTACAGCTAGGGTAATTAAGTTTAAGTCATTGATTCTTCTATGCAGAGGAAGTAAAGATAATTATGAGATCTTTCTAGGTGTGAAGGTTTTTATTTTCTAAGTTTGTTAGCTTGAACTAGAGGTCCCACTTCAAATACCAAAATTAATTTGAACTGTTTTTCTCATGACAAAGCACATGAAAGGACTTGAGTTCATAAAATACAGCTATTACATGTTCCAGGTCCATGTATCCCAAAAATGGCTCACATAAGGTTCATGTGTAATTTTATCACAACTAAATACAAAACAGGATTATATGACAGCATTTTTCTCGCCTCACCTTTATTCCTAAAAGTTGTACATCTTTGCTGCCCAGCATTCCTTTCGTTACTTAAGCTGCTAACCAGAGGTTCATATTTCCAAAACCTCAGGTAAGGCTTCATTCGGTAGGACTGAATCAGATAAAATCAAGACCCAGAGACAACTAAAAACCGAAGAAATCAGATTTTACAGATGGAACGTGGGTACTTGTAAAGTGTTGCTTCTGCACAGGTGCTCCCGGTGTCTCTGGCCTCATTTGATTTCTATCCCTGTGTCAAAGTCAAGCTCAGAGGCCAGGCCTGAGACGCCTTCACTATCTTCTGCTCATCCTGATACCCACCTTCTCGTTACTGTGCCACATTCAATCTGCATTTTGCCAGTTGGCACCTCACAGACTGCTTTATAAAATGTTCTCCTGTGATTGCACAATTTGTATAATTACAAGGAAAATGAAGGTCAGAATGTACTTTCCGACCGTGCCTGAATGTTCATTCCGCTTGCTTTTATAAGTTCTTTATTTGGAACTGGCCAGCACCTTCACAGGCCTGTGTGTGCTTTTGATTCTTGCAGCTCTAGTGTGTTCCACGCTGTGCCTTTCAAAGTCTTCTGATGGCTGAATGAGTGGGTGCACTTGTGGACAACAATGACTGTAAGCACCTACACTTAGAGACTGTCGACTTAGTAAAATGGGACACGAGGTTCAAACCTGCTGAAAATGCATTTAAGAAAGAAGGCAGGCTCAGGCCGTGTTTATTAAAAGCAGAATACAGAGTACTCTGGAACTCAAAGATTATTACAATGTTTAGTCCCTGACAAGTTAGATCTAAAGGAAGAAGTTAATTTCAAGGGAGGTAACAAAAACTTTAATTAAGAATTATACATCTGGTTGCAGACTGAGTTTATTCAAGCTTTGTAGCCTCAGTATGATCTTCTGGGTTATCAACTGTTAATAACCCAAATCGATTACTCTCTTCATGCCAGCTCGGGTCGGAGGTGGCCCCCGCTCTGTTCTTTGACTGGCTGGTACCTTGTTTCTTTTGCTTTTTTTTTCTTGAACTTGATTTGCCCCTTGGAAGGAATAATTCAGCAGGGGCATGCGACTTTGTGGCACTGAACAGCAGTTGATACAGGTGCTGAGCCTCGGGACACTTGCTCAGGAGGCTCTCTGCGGAGGGGGAGGCCAGCAGCTGTCGGCTCAGCCCGTGCACCACGCTCCCACTGTACAGGCTGTTGAGCGGGAGAGAGAGAGGTGGTTACAGAGTGGGTTCTGTCATGAACATGACTGCTTCCATTAAATGATTAACATTGTGTAGGAGTAATCTGTTCAATGAAGGAAGGAACCGAGTTGTTACTACAAAGATAATAACTGTTGTTGGCGATATTTAAAGACACTTTGTCAACAAGTTAATGATGCTGCTAGTCCTTAAACTGAGGCAGAGTTGAGCAGGCCCCTTAACCCTTCAAAGAAAAGGAACTAAAAATGAGTTTGATAAGCCAAACAGGCAGTTTATTGAAAGAAGAGAAAAGGTAATGGTGTCATCTGCAAAGCTATTCATTGTTGGACTAAAAACCTACTTCACAACTAAGAAGGTGGAGTTAACTAAGCAGTCAGTTTTACATGTAACTTACTGGCAGAGGGATACAGTGATGAACTGGAGCCATCCCTCCGTCAGTGTGAAGTCATCAGTGTGATGCTGACAACTGTCTGCTCTCATTTTCCTGCCTCCAGGGGATCTGCCCTCCTACAGGCTGGGAATGGAGCAACACCAGCGGTGAGCAGGCGCCTGCCGCCCAGAGGACACACGCAGCGCGCACACCGTCTCAAGTTCACTAACCATCCTCTTTTAATTTCCTCATTCACTCCCTCTCCTGAGGGGACAGGCCCACAGAATGTCCAGTCCACTGGCCTGTGACTTTTTCACTGCCTGGATCCTAGCTGCTCTCATTCCTCACCCAGGCTCAACCCACAGTTGAAGGTGACTCACGCCCCGGCCTGGCCGCCGCTCCCCCTCAGACTTGCCTGCCTGCAGTGGCCACTTAAGCGGCTAATTGTCATCTCGTCAGTATCAAACCTCCATGGTGGCAGATTTTTAAAAATGTCCAGTATAGCCTAGTACAGAGTAGGCATTTACTAAGTGAACAACATGGCAAGTGGAAGAACTGCAATTAAGAAGAAGTATATATGCAAGGAGTAGTGTAACAGTCCAGTGAGCAGCCTTTGTAAGTGGCATCTGGACAGAGCTGCAGGATGCGCGACACCCACCAGTCGGCTGCCTCTGTGCTTTGAGGGACTGATGTTACCTGATTTTAACTGTTTTCAGTCAGTTAAATAATAGCATTGCTATTCAGATTCAATGATGTGTGTGATGCTGGGTCAGACAACTAATTCAGATGTGTTTCCTTTTTAATTGTAAATTTTGTTAAAATAACATCGTATCATAAGAGTTTCAGCATCTGTGTGTATAATTAAGTTCACGCCTAAAGGTCCATTTCTACCCTTTAATATATAGTCCACCCTTTTGCCTGATTCTGTCCCCCCTTTTGTAGCTGCAAATTTGACCTGATAGCCCAAAGTTTTCTTTTTGTATTAGGCTCTGTCTCTGTACACCACATGGGGGTGTCTCCTCTGACTGACGCACTGAGACCCTCTAGGTCTGTCCTTATTGCAAATGGAAGGATTTTTTTTTTAAATAGCTGAGTAATATTTAAGAAACTGATTTTTAAAAATTGGATCTGACCATGGGAATTCGTTTTGGGAGTATGGAAACATTTGTTTCCAGCTCTCCAGGTATAATAGTGCTCTAAGTCCAGTAATACTAAGATTCGCTTTTAAGACAATTTCTTAACTTTAAATGAATAAAAGTATTTGTTTCCTTGCGCAGCCATCTGAAGTAGTTTCCTGTGGTGCTTACTGAGTTAGGTCTGGCTCTGGGAAGGGAGAGAACAGCAGCTGATTGAGATACAGCCCCATCTGCAGACAGCTCTGCCACTGACAGAAGACGTGAGCCGTGTCTAGGTCCAGTCTGGTGCCTGGCCGCGCCTGCTGCTTCACTCTTTGGAGCTCTTCATACAACTTTCTAGCACGACCTTTCTGGAGCTCTTCCTTGTCTAGATAAAGAAACAACACAAGGGCCGTGTTTCCAGATAGGTTGTATAAGCTTATCATTTTTTCTAAACTCAGTTCCACAAAGAAAAAAAGTTAATAGCCAAAGTGCTTTTGTTTACTGGCTCTGTTTGTAGTGTTAGTGCCCTGCAACTTGAAATACTTAACACCGAGAGGCCTTTTTATTGAATAGTACTATTCAACCTCAGATCACGTTTCCTTAAAATGCCTTTTCCACTGGTCCAGTACCTGGCCCTTTGAAACGAAACAAAAAACAAAACGAAAAAGGCATCAGGATTCTCTAAGCGCTAAACCTGTCTCTCTGGAAATTACTGATACTCGACTGTTCTCCTTCACGTGACTTCCTTTCACGGAGACCCGGCGCTATCCATATATAGTGTGCCTCTTTAAAGGAAATGCCTGTGTGTTCACCATACATTTTAATTTGACTTCTGCCTTCTGGGGGGGCCTGCTCGAGCAGGGAGTGCAAAATTGCATCTGGACTTACTTGTAAGTAAAAAAGAGGCCTCTTTGGCCCAAAGAGCGGCAAGGCACACGGCCGGGGCAGGGTCCTTAGTAACTGAAGAGCAGCAGCAGACCCTCAGCATGGCCCTCCCGGGGGCTCAGGTTAGGACTTAAAGGCTCGTGCTCTGAGAAGTTTCTTCGCTTGTATTGAGCATTCAGCAAGAAGAAATGCCCCAAACTTGGTCTCCAGCCAGAAGCTGGGTCTGCATTAAGTTGACTCAGAACAGCGCCCCCAGGCGGTGTCTAGAGCCTATGCTGGTTCATCTGCCCATTTAATTCACTTCAACCCTAGAGAAACAACAGCCAATAGAATGCTCAGCAGTGCTAGAAACATCCTCTATCTGCTCTGTCTGAAAATTTCTAGCACAAATGGCTGCTAAGCACTGGAAGGGTGGCCAGTGTAACTGAGACACCAGATTGCTTGCTTGTTGTAAAGAGCCAATATGCCAGCAGCTGTCTTACTCTGTCTGCAGTTTGAAGACATGATCAGGTAGTGACAGAGCCTTCATAATCTTTTAAAGAGACTAATTCCATTACAGAATGCAAGTGCTCCAGTACATCAACATTTATCTCACCTGCTAGTTAAATGCAATATGAAATTGCCTCAAAGTTAATTTCTTTAATGGGGCGAGAAGTTAGTTTTTACCACTGCTACTTAAGTAACTGAAACTTAAAACAGAGGTGAAAAAGAAAATTAAAAGAGAGCATGAGCTAGAGGTTTCTTGTGGTGTTTGGAAGTGGCCAGTGGGCAATTTTAGGTGTCTAGTGATGATGCTCTCTGTTGAAGAGGTGGATTGGGAACATTGTGCCAAGAGCAGCCTGCACGTCCCACTGTCATCCTTGAAAACGAACACTGGGAACAGCTTGTGTGGGACCGGCCGGTGTTGGCCTCCACGTTCAAGCCCTCCAGCACTGAGCCTGGCACAAAATACTTACCAGTGAGTGATGTTTTTGGTGCCTTCACCATAAATTTTGCTGTAACTGATGGGAATAAATAATCCAATGGTATTTTACTTAGTAATATGCAAGTAATATGCAGAAAGCTACTCCAGGAACTTGGTGATACGCACCAGGGCTACTGGCCATGGCCCGCAAGGGCCCCAGCAGCATGCCCAGCAGCAGGGCTTGGAGATGGTGCAGCTTGGCCTTCACCTCTGAGTGCTGTAACCAGTAGCAGCTGACAGCAATGGGCAGTTGCAACAAAGCAGGAATCAGGTCCAGGATGGTTCGTTTCACCTTCAGAGTTTCTGTTAGGAGTGTCTGCCGACTAGCCAAGGAAAGCTGCAAGTACATCCTGCAGGTTACTTTGATTTTTCAAGTACAAAGAGACATTTTCATGTTTGAAACTGTCCTGTCCATTTCTTTCTGTGCAAGGTAATCAGCCACACACAAAGCAATTAGAACATTAATGGGGTGCTTATTAATAAATCTGGGTGACTGGCTGTGCTGTCAGCTCCCTTCACAGCGCCCTGTCTGCACTTGGCGTGGAGGCTGGTGAACGGCAGTCCTCAGGGTGCCTGTCGCTTGGGAGGCTGGTGAAACATTCAGAATCAGGCCCCCGAATGCCTCAATTTGATTCGGCAAACCCAAAAGAAGCTCAAGAATCTGCATTTTGAACTCTTCCTGCTTTGAGAAACGAAGCTCTGTACTCGAGCCAGTGCTCACTTGCTCTAGTGAGTAGTTAGGCCCTGCCTTCATTACTGGCCATCTCCAGAAGGCAGACTTGGAGGATAAGCACCCTTGGCGGCACGCGCCACAGGCCTCTGTTAGGGTCCTGTCTCGGGCCCCTCCTCAGGTTACTGTCCACCTGTCTTTGTGTGCCTCCTGCCCCATGGGGACTGTCTAGAGGCGGCACAGGAGGGAGCGGTACTGTACCGTGCTGGAACCACGTCCCCTGCTCCATGCCGCAGGCCGCACTGGAGATCACACCGCAGAGCAAACAGCTAGGTGGGCTTGGGCTTCTGGTTGAAAATATCTGCCTTAAAGAATCTTGGGACCTAACCATCGGAGACCTTAGAGGTCACACACACACATCAGGCAATCAGGACTAGTAAGGGATGCCTTCAAGGGGGGCTTTACACTCAAACATGAAAAGGAAAACCAGCCTGTGTTCTAGTGTGTGAATGCAGCCAGAAAAGGATTTCTTCCCTTTCTTGAATTCCAGTCAGCCTGACTAACTTCTCAACAATGAAAAGCTATTTATGGAATAAAACACATTATAGTTGATAAAAGTTTCAGTAATGCACGAAAGCATTAAGTACAGTGGTGCTAAACAGTCTCAGTGATGCGATACAGTGATCAAATCTTAAAGCATGCAGAGGCTTAGCCACAGTTATCTTTACAGAAACTCACATGAACGACTAAAGTAAAAGCTATCTCTAACTTCCTAACTGGTTCAAAAAAGCAATGCCTAAAGCTAAAGAAAATGCTATAATGTTTAGATTATAAATTATCTCTAACCACCTCTACTGGCTTTTTTTTTTTTTTTTAAAGGCAACACTTAACAGCTAAAAAAAACCCCTAATGTGTAGATTGAGTTTTCCAGCTGAGGTGCACTTTTCCGAACAAGCAGTCTGGACTTTTATCATTGTTGTTCCCTCACAAACTCTTAAGCCTTGGGCAACTTTCTGAGCATTTCCACAGCCTGATCAGTCTGTAAAGTGGGCATTATATAACGAGTTGCCCAAGAAGTTTCATGGGATCCAAATGGCCTGTGTCCCTTCAGAATGGAGTAATTCAGAATGGAGTAATTCTGACAAGGTTTTAGCATGTGACAGCTGCACCCCGCCTCACCCCCCTGCAGGAAGGCAGCGCACGCCTGTGGAAACCCCTGCCGCAGAGGCAGAGGCCTTGAGAGAGGCTGGTCTTAGCACTTAGTCCCCTAGAACCGTCCACTTCCACGTCTCCTTATGTTTACCTTACCCTCTGTGGCTTACCTTGGTCTCCTGTCCACTGACATAACCAAACAAGCCCCTACCCCTGTGGTGACTGTGGGAATTAAGCTGGGTACGAGTTGGCTACAACGGCAGGGAGATACTTAACACAGAAACTTACGCAATAATATCCAAATAGCCCATGAAAAGGTACTCAAGACATCTGGGAAACGAAAGTTGTTAACACCCACTAAATTAGCCAATGTGACACTGCACAACCACTAGAGTTTAAAAAAAAAAAAAAAGTACCGAGTAGCAGCAAGAGTGTAAAGTACGGCGTCTCACAAGCTGCTGCTGGCACAGCCAGGGCATCTGGGAGTGGGTCTTCCACGCCGGCTGCCCGTGTCCTCCATTCCTACTTACAGACGTGACAGGGATACGCCATGCCGTTTAAAGGAAGTGCACTGTAGTGCTCGTAGCACTATTTAAAACAGCCCAGACTACAAACTCCCCAAATATCCATCAACTCAGAATTTTTTCCTTTTTCTTGTAGCCTCCTAGTCCATTCTAGTACTAGCTGGTGTCAACAGAATAGCAGTGCTCATGCGAAGCAGACACAAAGCACATGGAAATAGCAGATGCGGAGTTACAAGATGTAGGCGTGAGTTCCAGCACTGACACCGGCTGGGGTGTCAGTCATTTATTCTGGAGTCCTCGTTTGTCCAGCTATGAAATGGGTGCAACACACCAAGCACACCCGATCAGTTACATGAAGAGAAAAAAAAACCAAGGTCAGGCGCTAGACAGCGATGTCACTGAGGTTCCACTTACCTCCTTCAAGTTGTTTAAGCCAAAGTGATCCTTGGGAAGTTCTACAGCAACAGCTGACGTTTGGATATTTTTATTAACCCTTTCTACTTCACTAAAAACTAGAGGCTGAGGAGGTAATGCTTCCTGAAGGGGACAAGCATTCATGAGCAGCCCGTAGATGACCTTCCGGATGGGCTGCGAGATTCGGTGGGCATTCGGGCGCTGCATGTGCTCCACTTGGGTGTGAAGAAAGGTCCGTCGTAGCACCAGAGCATCGCTGACAAAAGGCGATAGCTGGCCTTGGGCCAAAGCCGATAGCACCCATTCTGGTAAACCCAGATCCAAGGCCTCCGCACAGGTATAAGTACCACTCTGGAAGAAGTCCTGCAGCTTCACCTGGGACTGCTGGTATTCTTCCATGGAACTGCAGAGAAGTTCCTTAACATTTTCCCTGTTTTTGAGGGGAAGATATTTCAGAACGTTATCTAGTGCCTCAGCAGCATCAGCAAATTGAGACAACCAATTCAGAAGTCCCAGAATGCGGTGGTGTCTTCTCCCTTTTGAACTGGTAGCTCCAAGAGGCATGTGTGCTCTGCTGAAGAAAGTCTCCATCATGGGTAGATTAACATAATCGTTTCCACACAGCACAGCAAAGAGAGGGAGGAGATCTCTACTGATACTGCTGAAGCGTCGGCAGAATGCATCAAGGGAAAAGCACTTGGCAGGGATGTAGTAGTCTCGCGTGCCTTTAACAGTGGTCCTGTTTCTCCAGTGAAAGGTATTAAAAGGGCAAAATCCAGCTTTCAGATCAAAAATGCAAAAGTCACTATCAGATGATAACACAGGGCAATTCCACTGATTAGCAAGTGTCATAATATCCCGATCTGCTTCTGAAAAGCACTGGACAAAACAGACCTGAAGCTTGATCAACACCTGTATGAACACTTCCCGGATGAGCAAGGGACATACGTACCCACCCCCACCAACAGAAAGGGAATGGGCCATCTGGATCTTCTCTCTAGCTCGATCCTTTATAGTTGTAAGCTTTTTATCTGAAATATCACATCCTCCGTCTAATACAACATATGGGCATATATTGCAAGCAAACAGTGACTCAAAGAATTTTTGTACAACATCTGCAAAAGAATCATAGTCCCCTCCATACTGGAACTCCATGTCTGAAGTGAAGCAAAGCCGGTGGAACAGAGCATAACCATCAATAATAATTTTGGTGTTTCGCAGCTTCAAATCAGTGAAGAACTCATCACTGTGATCTTCCACAAAACTCATGAGCCCTCGGATACCCATGACGACGGTCTGAAGAACTGCCTGTTTTAAAATAACAGAGCACCACTGCATCATCAGCAAATGTTACGCTCTTTGGTTAAAATACATTAGATGTCAGAATATGGAACTTCTTACCTAGACTTCAGGCAACATCAGTGAGCTGAATTTGTTTTTGCTCGCTCTCGCTTTCCCCATGAACTGCAAGGCACAAAATCAATAGTCTCATGGATTCTGACCCTTGGTTTTGGGCAGAGGTTCTTGATGAGTGAGGAAAAATCAGGATCACTGATGTAATAATACAAACTTTATGTGGGTTTGATATTGCAGTTACCATCTTACAGCAGAGTATTCTGTTTTCAAAGTAAAAAATCCTAAACTAGAAAAAAAAAATTTCCCCCAACCTCATAGCTAAAAAATCAGAAAGCATTGAGCTTCAGCCAGCTAAAGTGTTGAGGGTCAATGTAAGGGTCCAATTGTTCATTTTTTGACAGTCTGGGAAGTGCTCTCAGACCTTAAGAATTTGGGTTCACCTTCACTGGCATAGTTCTGGATGAGGAAACGTCTGCTCCATGCCTCTCCGAACTTACTACTCCAGTTTCACCTCACCAGGTTTGCTTTTTTTTTTTTCCATCTTTGTGGCTTTGCGTTTTGGGCCCAGTCACGAATAACATCCTTCCCCATCTGGCTAACTTAAGTCACTGGAAAAAAAACAAAAATCAAACCAGTTATGACTGTTTTTCTCTGGACTCAGGACCCATGATGGCTCATCACTTGGTGATGCTCTTTAGTTAAAATCGTGACATCCATTTTAGTTAAAATGGATTTCTACCATTAATTTTGACTTTAAGAGATCCTGCACTAAGATGTATTTAGCTCGATCACTGAACCTTGGGTGCCTCTTTCCATTTTGTGTCCGATTTACATCGGAGTCGCGGCTCGCTACCTCCTCCTGCGTTGTACTTAAAAGTCTGCCTTGAAAACCTTTGCGAGCAGAGACCGTGTCAACTCATCCTAAACTCAGAACAGCTCACTGCACGGAGCAGCAGTTGTACAGAAGGCGCGCTGCAAGGGGAAAGCGCACAAAGGTTCGAGCTCAATTTTCAGACACCAACACACACCGCGCGCCCGGGTCACCCAGCCCCTCAGCCCCTCCTCGGACGCCCGCCCGAGCTCAGCGCGTCCCGGAAAGTCCGGCACCTGAGAGTCCCGCCCCACAGGCGGAAACCAGAAGTCTCCTGTCTGACGTCACTGCGGTCCGTGTCTTCTGAAGCCCAGCGACAGACCGCGGGGGAGAAGGTGCTCCCGGGCTTGACGGCGCGAGGGTTCGCAAGGCTGGGAAGTAGACTCGGAAATGGCCGCTCTCGGCTTCGGGAAGTGAGGCCAGCAGGGCGGCAGCCTTTTCCCCGTCCACCCGGTGGCGCACCCTTCCGCCTCGGTGACGCGCTTCCGGCCGCCACACCCTTCCTTCCCGGCATGCCCCGCGCTGTCTCCGTGACAACGCTGCTAAATAGTGGTGGCGGCCTGTGGTCCTGGAGCCCCGCAGGTGCCGCAGTTCCTACGGCCTGGCCCGCGCACGGTCCAATTACGGGCGGCACTCGGGGCATGCCCCGGGCGCCCCCGCTCCTCTGCCTGGACCGGGACAGGTAATGCAAAAGGCTCTCCGCGAGGGGTGCTGGCTCCTCGGCGTCGGGGAAGGAGGCCGGGTCCCGCGTCTCTGGGCCGCCCATCCCGCGCCTCCTCACTTCCCTGCAGTCCTCACCGTCCAGAACTTCACCTGTCTCCCGAGAATAAGTGTGGCCTGTGCCCCTCGATATACGTTAATTCGCTTTGCAAAAATGCACGTTTTTAAAAGTTGAGGCAAAAAATTGTTCCTTTTACTTTGAGATTTCCCTTTCAGGTTAGAGCCCCACGTTAGCGGAGCCTGCTCTCAGATGTGCTTCCTCTTGTTCATTATTACCGGGGAAGAGAACTACTTAGTGTCAACCTGTGATAAACACTCACCATTCCTTGTCCTTTGCTGCCCAACCAAATGAATTTCACCTCCAAGGGTCACTTTGCACAGGCAGTAATTTCCAGCCTTTCCCAGAGTTCCCTTCCGGTTTTTTCTTCCCCCTCAACAAAGTTTACTGAATATCTACTGTATGCCAGGCACTGAGGATACAGAGATAAAGGCTTGTTCCTCGTGCTCAAGTTCTCGCAAGTGTCCCAACTCACAAGTGGGGAATGGGGGGCGGTGGCCAAGGAACTTCGGTAAGTGCACAGGTAGTTCTAGGCTCTAGAGGGCGCTGTACATTCTACGGTAACTTGATAGAGACTAATGGAAGGTCTGAAGGTGAATCAGGCCGGGCTGCGGGCCAAGTAAAGTTGAGCAGAGGAAATCTGGTCCCAAAGTCCCTCGCATTTTGTGGCGCCGCTCCAGACTGCTTAGTCTTTCCAACACATAGGAGCCCCTGGGAAACTGAACCTACCAGAGAACTAGTCTATTCTGCGCTGAACAGGAGGCCTTATCTCAAAAAGGTGAAGAACTACTGAGTAAATCCAAGGGTCCTTTTCAGTTGAAAAGGCTTGTGAGGCCACAGTGTCTTAACCCCCTCCCTCATTTGGACAGAACGCATAATTTTTATTTCAGCAGACGAAGCAAATGGCCTGCTGTCCATTAATATTTTCAGCATATTTCATGGATATTTTCTGTAATCTTAGTAATCCCACATAATTGCTTCTCTCTTAAGGAATTCTGAGGTATGACACAGTGCTGAGGTATGACATCAGTTTGATGCTGATGTTGTTTTAAAAGTGTCATGCCCAGGAAGCACTCAGGAGATTTGGTTTCTCCCTCCCTCTCTGCCTTTCTACCTTCCCCCTAAACAGTCCCTCAGACTAAAACTTAACTGATTGATATATTACTTCAAAAAAAAATGCTGCAAATGGATGTTTACTTGCTTTTTTCCTATTCTGAGGAGTTTTGTAATTGGCCACCACCATGTGAAGCCCATCCATGGGCCACATGCCCCAAACTACACCTTGATTTGTCATTGTGTTACGGGTCAGAGAGAGAGGGGCATCACTGAACCCCCAAACCTGCCTGCTCTGAATAGTTTCTGCCATCTGCCAAATCAAGACAAAACATATAAGGCCTTTAATATAAAGGAACTTTAATACAACCAGTGTGTAATACAGCACACATAAAGGATATAGTTTCTAAATCAAACACCTTCGTGGGTAAAAGTCCACCCCAAAAGGACTGGTGCAAAGTAAGACCTGAAAGCCACCACAAGTCCAGAGCACCTTCTGGAGGGGACCCAAAAAAAGGGTCAGAAATTGTTACAGGGCAGGGAGAGGCACAGGGAACCTGAAATTCCCCTTTTCTTAGGGACCACCCTGTTACAAAATGGTTACAAAATGGCCAGAAAAGTCTGAAAGGAAAAGAGCAAAATAAAAATCAAGATAAATGTTGCCATAGTTACCTCCCCAAGGGTCACCCACATTTGTTTCAACCAGTCCAGGGCCAAGAAACAAGAGCCTCTTCTTCACATGTCTCTGCTCCATGTGCCTCCCTCAGGTCACCTTCTGGCTCTCCATTCTTCTTCCTTCCTCTTCAGTCTCCTCTCCAGATTCTTCTCCTCCCTGCTCAGCTCCACCCTCCTTTTGGGTGGCGCAGAGAACTTGGAACCTCCCCTTTTCCTGTTACAATTAGACACAATTAATTTTTGTCTTATAACTTCTGAATTGCTGACTATGGAAAACTTACTCCAAGGCATAAACAGTATTCAACTTAAAATCATGTTTTCATGCAGATTTCAAACAAAGCCCATATTTTATGATTACTCAAAAACATTTTTGATTTTGATGAAAGAAAAGTGATTTTACCATGCACATGCTCTTATGAAATAGTCCTGCCTTCCATGATTCTACTGTACATTTAGCTCCTCAGGGGATTAATAATTTGCCTATATTTTTAGTCAGCTAACATTAAAATATAATTTTAGGTTTGAATTTCATTTGTGACACTTCTTATTTCCAATCCAGGGTGATTACTCAATACACAGTGTGAATAATAGAAACATCAGAATCTCCTTAAGGCAGCAAAAAAACTCATTCTGATCCATATCGCCCAACATATCTATTCTAATAAATGTAAATACCACAGCTTATAATCCATGGGGTGGGGGGAGAACCCTAAAGAAATGAACATTATGCTGATGTCTGGCTTGAGGCTCACTCACTCTTTGCAAATCAAAATACACATTTGCTAAGAATAAAGAATTGCAAAAAAGTTGATGCAAACATATAGACTTAAGGAAATGATAATGTTCTTATAGGTGCCTTTGTAATGTGCCTTTTTTTTTTTTTTAAGTATGGGGGGATATAAATCTTTAACAGATTGTTGATCCAGAAACTTCTGGACATCTGAGAACCAGGGGGAAGTTTAAGTGTAACTCAGTTTTGCCAAATTTGGAGGTCTGAGGGAAGGCTTTCTCCCTGTGAAACACTGACTGCCTTCTGTTGGAATTTGCCCTATGGATCAACCTTTCGAGGTTTTTCTCTCATGTCATTAAACTAATAACTTGATATGCTACCACTTGGCTCACTGATCAAGATGTGGCACCATTGCCCAGAACTTACAGTTTCTATTAGGAATAGTTCAGACCTAAACTGTGGACTTCTTATCTTTCAGGTACTGAATGATAACCTTGGATGAACTTGACCATCTCCTTGGAGACTTGAATGTTGACTTTCTTTAAACATATGAACCCGTTCTCTTTTATTGGCAATGCTGAAATTCCAAGAGACTGCTAAGAGTGTGAGTGGATCAAGAACCATTTCCACTTATCCAAAAGCCTTGATTGCAAGAAGATATGTGCTTCAGCAGAAGCTTGGCAGTGGAAGTTTTGGAACTGTCTATCTGGTTTCAGACAAGAAAGCCAAACAAGGAGAGGAACTGTAAGTGGTAATATTTCACACAAATCTTGAGTTGACGACGCTGTATGTGGAGCTCTGAGCTGATTAAAAACACGGAGTACCATTCACTTTGCTTTTTGCATTACAATGAGAATTTAGTAAGAAATAGGAAAGCTCCTTGAATGGTCTCTTCAGAGAAGGGTCTGAAAGGCATTTGAGCAGGTGAGTGAAGTACCCAGGTGACCTAGAGAAGAGAATGGGGAGATTATGTGAAAGGAGGTTTTTAGCATTCTGGAGTCTCAGTGACAACATTGCTTCTGCTTCACTTGATTGGCATTTCTTGAATGAGAGACTAAGAATTGTTTATAATGACTGTGCTTTAGAAATGTTATGAAATGCAAATGAATGGTAATTCACATTTGAGGTGAGGCAGGCATATGAAGTACACTATTGGTTTTCTTGGGCTTTTTCCTGCGGACGAGATGTTCGAAGTCTGTCGTCATGCAGTCCTCAAATGACATGTTTAAAGTAAACATGCAATTAATTGGACAAGAGATCTCTGAATCTCTTGGCTGAATCTTTATTTTTAGCTTTGTTTGAATTTTCTGTGGTGAAAAGTTAGGGAGAACTAAAGTCAGGATTAGAGACTCGTACCTCAGAAAGACAGGGGGAAGAGAAAGAAGCAAGAATGAGCCAAGAAGCCAATCCTTAACTCTGGAAGAACAAATTTCCCCCCAGCAGTCTAGTCTTCTATTCAGAGATTTTGAGACCACTTGAAATTCTTTTAGCGTTTGTCCATCAGCTGCTTAACTATGTGTCGAAATCAGTGTGACAAACCTTTACCGTTTCTTAATAGGTGACAGGAATTATAAAAGTAAATGTTACTTAGACTGTTTTTTAAATACCCACCAGCCTCTTACATGGGCTTTGTGTCCAGAGTTTTAAAAAGTAACAGAATTCATAGTTTTTGACTGAACTTTATGCATTCTGGAGTCTCAGTGACAACATTGCTTCTACTTCAGTTGATTGGCATTTCTTGAATAAGAGACTAAGAATTACTTAGTCTCTGGGGTTCTCAGAACATTCTTTCTGATGCCTAGCAAATAGAAATCTCCCCCCTAAATCCCACAGATACTCTTCTAACCATTTGAACAGGGCGATGCATTTCTGACAAGGGCTAGAGAACCTATGGAGTCATTGAGAGAAAGACCTAAATCTGACCCAGGACAAAAACTGTACTGTAAAGACTGTCCAATTTGGGTTTTTTCAACTAACGAGAAATATGAAGAACTTTAAAAGAAGGGGTGCTGCTTGGTTGGGAAGTGATTTATCAGTGACCACTCTTGAGTTGGCTTTTAGCATGTGACCTGAGCTGAAGAAGGCCAAGCCTGGGTATGTGGGATGAACCCAGTAGTGAGGATACCAATGTGCGCATGAAGAGCTAGTGTGGAGACTCTCAGAAAGGAGCCATTTATCAGCAGGAGCTCTGGAGCAAATTCCATACTGGCCATGGTCAGCCTTCAGGAGTATTTTGTTCGATTTGCTCAGCGTTTCCTTTCTCATCTAAATTAGAGGTCAGTACATAAGAGCAGGCAGCTCTCATACCAGTTGGGCTTTTTTTTTTTTAATTTATGTTTTATACACACAGAACTGGGGTACAGGCCAGAGGTGCAGGGGCGGTGAGAGGCTTCACCAGAGACAGAGCGGGGAGCAGAACGGGCTGACTGATGAAGTCCACTGCTGAGGGGAAGCTGGCGGGTCAGGAGAGGTCTGCTATGCCACGTGGTCACCTCGGGGGTGGGGATTGAACGTGTGCTCAAGTGGCTTTGGCTTCTTAGTGCTGTGTTTTAACCTGCTGCGCCACGAGTGAGGGCCCCCAACTGAGCTTTGCATCGTCTCTTGACAACGACCAAATACAAGGTGATCTTGCCGTCTGTGTCCACACGGCTGGAGCTGGCGGCGGCAGCCCCCTCGCAGCAGACCCCGTGTGGCCCAGTGAGCACGTCCCTGCCTCTTCTCTTGCTCTCTCGCACGCTGCTGCATCACACCTTCCCACTACCTGCCGACCTTTGTAGACGTTTGACTTGGAAACTCTGCAGAGTCATGAAGATACTAGAAAGAAGGTGGAGTGTCGTTGTTAAGACCACAGGATTTGCCGGCGAGCAGCTCAAGAAGCAGGCCCTACGCCTAACTGTGAGGTTAAGGTCAGGCAGGCTGCTAACATGGATTTCAGTTTTGTCGTCCGTAAAGCGGGCTACTACCTCACAGGTGCCTTTTGAAGGAATTATGAACGTGTGTGGCCTGATATCCGAGGCCACATTCCTGGGGGAGTGACTTGTGCGGCTGTTAGCCTGAACTGGCCTGTGGTACACTTGTTAAATAGCCCCACGTGAAAGCCAGGCCCACCTAGTATACACTTTAGGATTTAGTCAAAGAACCTGACTGAAGGGAGAAGATAGCCTCGCCACCTTTTCATCAGAACAGTGCAAGCAGCATTGTGTCACTAGGTGGCGCCACGCTACCACTGACGTTTGCATATTCCTGAATGTTAATTACAATGTAAATACCACATTCCTTTCCATTTTCATTCACTTTCTTCATTAGCCATGAGATGAGGGGGAAAGCTACAGGAATCACACTTGATTAATGTATGTTTGAAGAGAGTTTTCTTTTTGGCACAAATATCTACCATTCTTTTTTTAATGATCACAGTAGCATAGAGTGAAGATATACAGTGAATGAGATAAAGGTTTTTCCTTTATTACATTCTGTGTCATGAAATTCATAAAACAATATTTGAATATTTGGGAATATTTCATGATGACAGAAACTCTGTCCGAAAGGATGTGATATTAACTCATCCCTCAGAATCTAGTTTTATTCAAGTTCTAATTCTATTTCTTCATTTTATATTTTTGTTAAGCTGTCAGTTTTTTTGGAACAAGCTCATAGATTTTAATGGGCCAAGAAATTACTTTGGCTCTTAATATAGTGCATGTAATTTCTTTGCAAAGACATGGTTAGGAAGTAGGTTTCACCTAAAACTGCAAATACTTGATTAAACTTGTGCATGATAAAACACGGATAATCCAGGCCAAGGGCGGTGAATGACAACATGCTTCACAGCAGCGTGGACTGCTGATTATAGACCTGTGTGTGTTTCAGCACATTTAAGACATGGCGACATGACTATGTGGAGTTGATGTTTTGCTGTCACCTATTTCAGTCAGCTACCAAGTACGTACTACAATTTAAGTATGAAACCTTTGCTAGGAACCGAATACCAGGGGGGCGTCTGAAACCATAGAAGATAAGGGTGGGCCCACGGGCGCTTCTGGTCTAAAAGAGACAGAAGAAACACACACAGAACGGGCGGCCGAGGCCCTGCTTCGGCACCTCACGGCAGGGCCCTGGGACATGCTGGAGCTCCCTGTTGTGCTGCTTGCAGTCATGTCTTCTGTGCACTGCGAGCTTCCCCCAACCCCCACTGCCCCCATCCTGTCATGTAAATGCCCGAATAGTCCCTCTTTCCCTTCTCTATTGTGTATCCTGAGAGGATGGCCTTCTCCCTCCACAGGGCATTTCTTCTCAGTCCCAGCTGCGTACAGCATGAGGTGAGGGCTGGGAAATAAAAGGAAGAGGCAGCCGAGTCCTTGGAGTATTGTCCTCAAGCCCACACACAGGCCTGGCCCGTGCCTCTTCACGACGCTCTTGGGCCTGCATTAGAGTGGGCTTTTAAAAGTCTTAGCAGGATTTCCCAGCCAGTCATGGAAAGAAAATGGAGGAGAAGAGGCTGACAGTTGCTGCTGGCAACTAGCAGAGGGGACTAGCCGTGGACCTTAGGAGAGGGGAGGCCACCAGTCACTCATGGGGATAGCTATCGTTTTAAAACTGCACAGCCCCCCCGGTTCATTGCTGTGAAGCCCAACAGCTCTCCTCCGCCCAGACTCTCCGAGAGCTCTCAGACTTCTATTCCTGTTCTGATGTGTGGTGTTGGGAGACCATCCTCAGCAGGGGCGGAAGGAACCACAGTGGGGCAGGGCTCTGAGGGCCACAGTCTGGTTAGATCGCCAGGCCAGACCTCAGCCCTCTGGGTGAGGGCTGTGTCAACTAAGTTCAGGCGAGACACATCTATAGACCGTGAGGTCACTTCTTCATTCAGGGCCTAGTATCTCTGTTCATTACCTTCCTGGCAGTCTCAGGTACAAGTTCTGGAGAAGCTGGGTCTCTAACCCACAGTGAAAATACGAACAGAACAAAGTAGATGGAATAATAAACAAAGTAGATGGGATATTCTAAGGGTCTCTTAGAATAAACAAAGTAGATGGAATATTCTAAGGGTCTCTTCCTTAGAATAGAACAGAACATCACTCCAAGCGAGCCCTGGGACTCTCAGACCTGGCGTGCACCTCTGGACAGCTCTGGCTGTGCAGTTTCCCTTTGGCCTCCTTTTCCAAGATGGAAATTAAGGGGCATGCTTCCCACAGAAAATGCGGTGAGCATATCAGGAGAAGGAGCTGTGATCCTGCCACGCAGCTTCTGTTTTTTCCTGTGTGCGTTGACAAATACTTCATCTTTTGAGGCAACTGAAAGTTGCCTCAGAGTGGAGGATGAGGAGTGAGGAAGACTTGCTTTTCACTGAATACTTTCGGACGTTTGACATTTTGTTCCTGTGCAAGGTTAAAAACAAGAGACCGGTGAAGTAAAGAACTCCACCTACTGGTCGCCGTTTGCCAGTCTGGGAGCCTGAGTCCAGGACACGGGCTCTCAGCCTTTACTCAGCAGAGGAATCACAGCATTTCCAAACAGCATGCTGAGCCCTTCCCCAGGGGGCCCATTTTCATGGGTCAGTTCATGTGTCTGGATTTTTGAGATGTTCTAGATGATTCAAACATGCAGCTCGGCTTGGAGAGAAAGACACTAACTGTGTAATCATAAAAATAAATAACAACAGGGCCCTCCCTGGTGGCACCATCTGTTAAAGCCCAGCACTTTAAGAAACCTGCAGAGGCTTCAGTGCAAGTTTGCTCCCCAGCCAGCTC